CCCCCCCCCCGCCAGGTGTGAACAGGCGGCCCCGCATCTCCGGAGTGTGTCAGAGCCGCGGGGGGCGGGGAGGAGTGTGAGATCCGCTTCACACCTGGGTGTGGGATGCATGTGTGAGGTGCGGGGGGCGTGTTTCTGAATGAGTGTTCATGTCTGTGTGATGCCTGGGTTGTGTGTATGTGTGTGTGTTTGTGACGTGGGTGCGGGGGATTAGATGCCTGGATTGTGTGCCTGGGGTTTGTGGGTGTGTGAGATTCCTGGGTGGGGGAGAGACAGAGAGAAAGAGATATGCCTAGGTTTTCTGTATGTGTGTTGGTGTCTGTGTGATGCCTGGGCTGTGTGGGTTTCTGTATGTGTATGCATGTGTGTGATACGTGAGTTGTTTGTGTTTCTCTGTGTGTGTGCATGTGATACCTGGGTTGTATGTGTGTGTGGGGTGTATGCCTGGGTTGTGTGTGTTTCTACATGTGTGGGTTTGCGATGTGGGTGTGGGGGTGTGATGCCTGGGTTGTGTGCCTGGGTTTTGCACATGTTTGTGAGATTCCTGGGATGTGTGTTTCTGTGTGTATGTGTGTGCAATACCTGGGTGGCGTGTGTGCATGTGTGCATACCGAGCAGTGTGCACAACTGGAGGCTCCCCCTCCCACACTCCCTCCTCCCAGCCGCTAGTCCTGCCCCCCCACCACACACGTGTGCAAGCATTGCATGTCCGTTCCCATGGGGCCCCACATGGGGGGGTTATGTTTATGCCATGGGCACACACGCACGCAAACACAAGGGCACACAGACACACATGTGGACACACAGACACACATGCATGCAAGGGCACATGCAGGCACATACACACGCATATATGCACACACAGGGGCATGCAGACACACACACAGATAGGCATGTGCACATGCATGCAGGCACACACATGCAGACATGCACACACAGGGGCATGCACATGCACACAGAAGGGCACACACATGGCACACAGGCTTGGGAACACACACACACTTGTGGGTGTATACACACACATATGGGCACACGAGGTGCAGTATGTCCCCCACTCCCATGGCCGGCACGAGCTCCCCTCCTCCCTCTCCCCACCCCCCCCGTGTGAACAGGCGGCCTCGTGTGAACAGGCGGCCCCGCATGTCCGGAAGGGGGGGGGGAGTGTGAGATCCGCTTCACACCTGGGGGGGCGTGCATGTGTGAGGTGCCTGGGGGGTGTGCACACGTGCAAGAGTGAGGTGCCTTGGGGGGGTTCTGAATGTGTGAAGTGTGTGTGAGGGGGGTGTGATGCATGGGTTGTGTGTATTTCTGAATGTGTGTGACATGGAGGAGGGTAAGAGAGAGAGATGCCTAGTTTTGTGCGTGTGTGTTTGTGTCTGTGTGATGCCTGGGCTCTTCCATCCAGGAGGAGCACACACCAATTGCTGAAACCTCCTGAGCCTGACGAAGGGTTTTTGAACCCGAAAGCTTGCTTAATAACTCTTCTCCAACTATTTGGGTTGGTCTAATAGAAGATATCAAATTCACCCAAGGAACCTTGTCTGCCTATGCCTGGGCTGTGTGTGTTTTTGTATGTGTGTGTGTGTGTGTGATGCATGGGTTGTGTGTGTTTCTGTATGTGTGTGTCTGGCTGTGTGTGTTTCTGTGTGCTTGTGCGTGTGATACCTGGATTGTGTGTGTGTGCATGTGTGAGATGCCTGGGTCGTGTGTGTTTGTGTGTGTGTGTGTGTTTGTGATGTGAGTGTGGGGGTGTATGTATGAGACCTGGGTTGTGTGTCTGGGGTTTGTGTGTAAGAGAGATTCCTAGGGTATGTGTGCGTGTGTGTGCATGCATGTCAGATGCTCGGGGTGGGTGTGTGCTTGTGCACGTGAGAGATGCCTAGGTTTTGTGTGTGTGCGCTGCCTGGCTTGTGCATATTTCTGTTTGTGTGTGCATCTGTGTGTGGTGCATCGCTTGTCTGTGTTTCTATCTGTGTGTGTTTGTGATGTGGGGGTGGGGGTGTGATGCCTGCGTTGTGTGCCTGGGTTTTGTGGGTGTTTGCGAGATTCCTAGGTTGTGTGTGTTTCTGTGTGTGAGAGTGAGTGATGGCATGTATATGTGTGTCTATGTGTGTACTGGGCAGTGTGCACAACTGGGGGCTCCAGTACTGCAGGGCTCCTCCCCCCCCACGCACGCGCGCACACCCCCTCCCCTCGGGAACTCCCCTCTGGCCCCTTCCCAGCAGGTGTGAACCCCCCACGGGAGCTGTCAGCGGCCCCATGACTCCGTCCCCCACTCCTTGCGGAAAGGGAAACTGAGACTCAGGAGGGGGTGCCTGGGCTGCCCGCCCCCTCCCCCAGGTGCCAGCAGCACCGAGACGGCGGCGTGGGGGAGGGAAAGGCTGTGGGGACCCCAGGGACACCCATGGGACCCAGGTGTCCGGGGCGGAAAGAAGTACATGCACTCAGGCACAAACCCCAGATGTCCAGGACACACACATACACACACACGCGTGTACAAACTCTTGAGGCATCCAGGACATAGACCCATACATGCGTGGAAATGCACTCACGCACAAGCATGCACACGTGTGTGCTCATGCATAGGGAACCCAGGGGTCTCAGACACACACACACACACACTCTCGCAGATGCATGCAGAAAAAATACAGGCATCCAGGACACACACACATGCACACCCATGTGCACAGAGAACCCAGGTGTGTGGGACACACACACAAAACCCAGGCATTTGTGGGGGACACACACATACAAACAGAACCTAGACGTCCAGGACACACACACACACAATCCAGGTGTCTGGGAGACACACACATACACACACACGCGCACAGAGAACCCAGGCATCCAGGGCATGGAAACCCCCCCCCCCCGCCAGGTGTCCCACACACGTACACACACAGAGAGCTCAGGTGTCCAAAATGAACACATGCATGCACATATAGGACCCAAGTGTCTGATACACATACATGCACACATACACTATCTGGGACACACACACGCACACACGCGCACAAACACGCACACACATGCACATACCCACAGGCACACATACATATGGACACCCCCCACACCCAGGTGTCCCACACACGTACACACACAGAGAGCTCAGGTGTCCAAAATGAACACATGCATGCACATATAGGACCCAAGTGTCTGATACACATACATGCACACATACACTATCTGGGACACACACACGCACACACGCGCACAAACACGCACACACATGCACATACCCACAGGCACACATACATATGGACACCCCCCACACCCACACACCCACCCACACATACACACGGGCACACGTGGTGCAGTGACCCCCCCTCCAGGGCCAGGCGCCCCACGTGACCCGGGCAGCGGGGCCTCCTGGGGGGGCGGCACGAGCTCCCACCCAGGGACCCCGGGGCGGTGTGAACAGATGGAGCAGGGAGGGGGGTCTCCGGAGTGTAGGGGGGCGGGGCTGGGATA